AAATGAAATGGTCTGTTATTTCCCTAGGGGATGAAGAAAAGCCAGAATCTTCTGCTTTTAGTTAATGGAAACCCATGATACAGGAGTCAACAGCAGCAAACCCGTTGTACCTCAAGAACCTCATCAATGCAACTTTCACCTTTATCAGTTCATCATCTTATTTTTTTTGCACTGGATGCGGAGCAGAAAGGAAGTGTCTGTATCCTCCTCGAGCCCATGGATACCAGAAGGGATGTGATGTTGATCCGGCTTTATCCTCTGAGCTGGAGGGGGTGAGGCCGGCCAAAGTCCAAACTCCACAAATTGAGACAACCAGATGACATCTCTGATCCGTCCACGGGACGCTGCGACCGAAGGGCTGTGTGAACCTGCAAGCACACAGAAGTTCACTTTAGTGTTCAGTTTCTTACAGCTAATGGCACATATTCACAGGTCTGACTGGTTGGAAGGTCAAAAAAATAGACTAGTGAGGTCCGATCTGTGAACAAACCGCGGTTTGAACTGAACGATTCAGTTGAATTGATTCGCAAAGTGTTCATAAGACACTTGACTGGAAGGGAAAACAGTTTGGAAGTGAACCAGCTGATCTTCATTCCTAATGAAGGTCTCATTAAGTGTGACACCATAAAAGCCAGAAAACTTTAACTACTGCATGAATATAACTAAAAACACTAATTTATGAAACATAATCAAAAACACTGCAGTATTTGTAAAATAGTATTTAAATACGATAATATAAATAATTGAAAATAAATCACATGTTTTTGTATCTCTTTTTATTGACAAGAATTGTCAAAATATTAAAATAAATCAGACTTCCTTTTTACGTCAGCTGGGGCAGTTTTTCATCATTGCACAAATAAATAAATTCTTATATTTTTTGCATTAATAATAAAACAATTATTATATAATTATATATCTTATTAAAATGATATATTATTATATATGTGACCCTGGACCACAAAACCAGTCTTAAGTGTCAATTTTTAAAAATGTATACATCATCTGAAAGACATAAGCTTTCCATTGATGTATGGTTTGTTAGGATAGGACAATATTTGGCCGAGATACAAATATGTGAAAATCTGGAATCTGAGGGTGCAAAAAAATCTAAATATTGAGAAAATCGCCTT